GTTCTAACCCACCAGCCCCCCTCCCCTCCCAGAGCCAGGGAGAGAACCCAGGAGTCCTGGCTCCCAGACCCCCCCCACCGGCTCTACCTCAATCCCTCTCCCAGAGCCGGGGAGAACCCAGGCGTCCGGCTGCCCGGGGGCTGTTAGTCCTTCCAGCGTCCAGTCCCCGCGAAGCCCAGAGCTCGGCCCCTGCTCTGGGCCGGGTAAAGCAGCGCCGAGCCGGCGGAACCGCCCGTCACTGGTCCGAGCCGCCCGTCTTCATCCGCCCGGTGCTGCCGGGGCCCGCCGCGGCCCCTCACTCCCGACCCGCAGCCCCTGCCAGCCCAGCCCTGCCCCCCACCCAGCTCTGCCGGTGCCCCTCACTCCAGACCCACAGCCACTGCCCCCCCAGCGCTGCAGGTGCCCCTCACTCCCGACCCGCAGCCCCCTGGTGGGGTCTGGTTTCTGGAGTGCAGGTGTGGGGGGAGGTTGGGAGCCCGGACGCCTGGGTTCTCTCCTGACTCTGGGAGGGCCTGTAGCAGGGCCCTTGGGTCACTGAGCTCCCCCCAGACCCCGGGGGTGGGTCATGCACCCTGCAGGGGCCCTGCTGCCCCCCCCCCCACTGGAGAGCCTGGAGCAGGGACCCCCCCCCAGCTCTGTCCTGGGCTGTCCCCAGAGGCAGGAACTGGGGCTCCCCATTCACAGCACATCTTTAAGGCAAGGAAACCTCCAGTGTCCCCCCCCCTCCCCCCGCAGTTATTTGATGGTGTTTGTGTAGGTCCTACCAAAACAGCCCCCAGGGACCGATACTGTCAGGTACGGGGGGGGGGCAGCTTGGCAGGGAACAGAGTGAAAGGGAGAGACGGGGGGGAGATGAAAGGTCACACCCGGTACCCCCCAGGGCATAGGGGGGCTTCAGTGTTTTGCTCTAACCCCAATGTCACCCCCCTCCCTGTTGTCAGCACCCACTCCCCTCCGAGCCAGGAGAGAACCCAGGCGTCCGGGCTCCCAGCCCCCCCCTGCTGTAATCCACCAGCCCCCACTCACCTCCCAGAGCCAGGGAGAGAACCCAGGCGTCCGGGCTCCCAGCCCCCCCTGCTGTAATCCACCAGCCCCCACTCCCCTCCCAGAGCCAGGGAGAGAACCCAGGTGTCCGGGCTCCCAGCCCCCCCCTTCTGTAATCCATCAGCCCCCCTCCTCCCCGTGAAGAAAATCCAGTGCGAAATGGAAAACAATCAATTCAATTTCTTTAAGTTGGAAGCTGTTTTGGGGGGGCCGGGACCGTCCCTCGCTGCGTCTGTGCCCCGGGCGCCGTGGGGGGCTCGACGGGGCCCCGCTCCCATGTGGTGTTGGGGGCAGCACGTGGGCTGGGGGGGGCCTCGCTCCTGGGCAGGACCTGGCCGGTCGGGGCCTCCGTCTCAGGCAGGGGGGTCAGGACAGTGCCCAACTGGGTAACCCCCCCCCAGCAGCTCTGGGGCAGCACAACAGGGGGCCTCATCGTGCGTCTTGGCCCCCCCACTCCACAGGGCCCCCCGCTATTATCAGACCCTGGCGGGGGGTGTCACTTGGGGAGGAATTAACCAGCAGCTCCCGTGCCCAGCCCCCCCTCCCCTGGCTTCGCCTTGCAGGAGGCCGCGGCCAGCGCTAGGTGCCAGGGTAACCCGCTGCGGGAATTCGCCAGGGCCGACGCTGCTGGGGGGGGGTCACGGGCTGGATCTGAGTGGGGGGAGCCCCAGGGACCCCCCAGCAGGGCCGGGGGGCAGGCGGGGAGGGTCTTTCCACAGCTGGTCGAACCGGCTCTGGAGGGGGTCACTCACGCGGGGCACCAGCCCCATGAGCTTAGCCCCCCCGGCTGGGCCTGTAGCTCCCCCCGGGAGGGGGGCAGAGTGGGGTGCTTCTCGGGGGCGTGCAGCTGGGGGGTCAGGGGCAGGACTCCAGGGGAAGATCGGGGGGCATACAGGGGGCCGGGGCATGCTCCCCCCTTTCAATACAGGGGCATGCTCAGCCACCCCCCCTCGCCGCTGCTGCGCCCCCCAACCCCAGCGAGAGGGGAGGGAGGCCCCCGCCTGACGCCCCCTTCGCAGACCCCCCCAAATCCAGCCTGAGACCGGCTCCGTCTGCGGCATCCACCCCCCAGACCCAGAGCGGTGGGGGCGGGGGGGAGACGTAGTTTCCAGGGCTCCCTCGCTCCTGTCCAGCGCCCCCGGCTGGCGCCAGACGGGACGACAGCGGGTTTTCTCCCCGGTTCTTGGGCTCCGTTTGCGCCGCGGGGGGGCCCTGGCTCGGGGCCGGGGGGGGCGACAGTCTCCATTCATTATCAACTCTTGTCAGCGGGGCTGTCTCTGTGCAGGGATCCCTTCATGCTCTCCAGGTATTCCTGCTGCGAGACCGCCAGCACCGAGGCCAGGATCTCGTCCTCGTCCCAGTCCGTCAGACCTGCCGGGGGGGGCAGGGTTAGGGGGCAGAGCACCCCGCGCCCCCCAGCTCTCCCCCTCCCCCCCAGCGCGCACATCGGGGGCGGGGCTAGC